TGCCTTCCCCACTTAGAACTGCTGGTGCCCATGATCCACCCTTGTTCAACACCCTTCCAACAGTAATCTCCCTGCCTGGCATCCTGGATTCCAGCTGCCGGGGGCGGCGGCTGGCCGTATCACCTAGCCACTGTTCACCTGTTGTGCTTGGCCTACCCGGGCCGAGCTGTCCTGCCACTCATAGGGTCCCTTGGTTCAACTTGCGCCTTGAGTTTGCACCCAGTGTCTTCCACCAAGAAAGATAAATTTGGAATGCTGGCAAAGGATCATGAACGTATCCTTTTGCTTACCAGCACATTTTCCTCCCTTTTTAATTACATAATTTTTAAAGAAGACGACGAAGAGATGGGATTTATACCCCGCCCTTCACTTGGAGTCTCAGAGCGGCTTACAAACTCCTTTCCCTTCCCCTCCCCACAACAGACACCCTGTGAGGTGGGTGGGGCTGAGAGAGCTCTGACACAAACTGCTCTTTTTCAAGGACAGCTGTGCCAGAGCTTGTGGCTGACCCAAGGTCACACCAGGAGGTGCAAGTGGAGGAGTGGGGAATCAAACCCGGTTCCCCCAGATTAGAGTCCGCACACTTAACCACTACACCAAACTGGCTCTCTCTTGAAATTTTGCCTTTCTGCAGTAGCATTCCTGTCCAACTTAAAACACTAAAAAAAACCCTCACCTACCTGTGCACTTAAGAACCAAAACAGCTTTTGGCACGAGCTAAATTCAAGACAAAATTATATAAACGTTTCTTTTTAGTTTTGTTTTTAATAATGACCTAACTTAGTCTAAAGTGATTCCATTCTGTCTAAGTGCATTCATCATTCCTTGCGGTACAAATTCCAAAAATACAATGTCAGAAGAATCATGGATTTGACCGTTCAGTGCCACGATTTTAAAAAACAAAAACTGAAGTCTGAAGAGAACTTTGTAAGCATCTCTAATGTAAGAACACCTGGCGACCCTGTTTGGGAACTTCAGGCCCCTTTTGTAATATGTATGAAATTACACTTCGAATTTTGTTTGCTGTAATTATCCAATGGAAAATCTGTCTTGCATGCTGATCCCCCCCCCCCTCTACTTGTTTGTGGAATCAAAAACTGGTACTTTGTTGCTCCCTAAGGAAAACTCCCGGGATCCAGGTTAGAGAAGCCCCTTTCAGCTTTCTTCCCTAAAGCCAGCTATTAATGACCTAGCGGTATCTAACACCGCTATCTAAGACGCTGACCTGCAGGCTGTGGAAGGTCGGTAGTTCAGCAGTTCGAGACCCGAGTGTGCCGCATGACGGAGTGAGCTCCCATCTCTGGTTCCAGCTCCTGCCAACCTAGCAGTTCGAAAGCAAGAAATTGCAAGTAGATAAATAGGTACCACTTCGGTGGGAAGGTAACAGCGTTCCGTGCGCCTTGGTGTTTAGTCATGCCGGCCACATGACCACGGAAACGTCTTCGGACAGCACTGGCTCTTCGGCTTGGAAACGGAGATGAGCACCGCAACCCTAGAGTCGGATTCGACTGGCTTTCGAGCAAGGGAACCTTTACCTTTACTTTTTTAGTATCTAACACCAGCTCTTCTAGTGTGCTAATTGGAATGAAGCCTGCAACAGGTAAGGACTTCAGCCAGCAATCGAATGAAACAGAAAAGCAGTTTTACGGACCCCTTTCAGTGAATTCACAGGTAAGCCAAGCTCTTGGGTTCCCCCCCACAGTGGTGTAAATAGTAGCATACAACAGCAGAGCCGCTCCACCTGGAGAAGACACAGCAGGAGTTTTAGCGCTTCAGCTCTCTGGGAAGAGCGCCTCCGCAGAATGTAATAGCCAAATCTTAATTCATTGCAAAAGAACTGAAAACCATTAATTGGGGCAGTGGAGGTTCAGGGCACTTCTCCTGGCCTGTTCCCTAATTTAAAAAGTGCCCTGATACGCTGGTGGTACAGTCTCTTCGAATCAGCGGTGTTCAAAGCCTTAAAATAACACAAGCAGTTGATAGGACACTTGAACTGAAGTATCTTCAGGGAAAGAAACGCAGTAGATCAAATCGGTTTGGAATAGGGGGGGTTCAGATCTGCCCCGTCCCACAGCAAACCATACGCGCAGTACGGGAAGCCAAGAAATCAGTGAGAACTGGTGAAGGAGAATTTGTTCACCAACCATTGAGGCTTATTTCCTTCACACCCAGTTCGAGATTGTGTCTGGAACTTGTCCCAGGCTACCAGCCCTTCCTGCAGTGGAACATATGACTCTTGCCAAACTGGGTGACAGGGCTTTAGTTGAGGGACACTGCATCTACTAGAGAGCTTGCTTTGATGAAGAGCAAACACTAGATGAGGTGCTAAAACTAGAGCATTGTGCTATGACTTAAGCTGTCCCCAGTTGTCATATCAGTTATTAGAAAGTTTTACCCTTGAATTAACTGTCCTTGGAAAAGGGTGGAGTAAAGGGAATGGGCTGAAGCGGGTCCCTAAGCACACGGTAGATTTGGATGAGAACTTCCTCCCTGAGTACCTGACTTATTAATGTGGTATCTGTATTGGCTTTGAATTGCTGTGGGAGCCAATTCCGAGCTGTAAAAATACAACACACTTCCATAACCACAGAGAACCCCCAGGCATTGAGGATCAGCAAACGGACCCCAGTCTAAAGTGTTGTATATCCAGTAAGTCCCTTAGTAGCTGGTGGAAAGCTTGTCAGACTCTTGAGAAGAGCAGTGTGGTGCTTTCAAAGGCCGTGTTTGGGCTAGTAATGGTTAGGACCCAAGGCACCTTTAAAGAAGGCCAAGCTGCACATAAGGGTGATACGATGCTATCGTGACACTCTGAATGGTTTAAAATTGCTCAGGTTCAAAAACAGTTCCAGTAGTCTGCTGCTAAGCCAACACGATGCTTTCACGACTTCCCATTTTAATCATTCTTTAAATTAAAAAGAATCAGACCATTCTTGTGCTGTGCAGTGCTCTTTCGACACACTGGGGTGGTCTTTGCAGCACAGTGCGTTCTCCTCCTTAGTGCTTTGATGCTGGTGGAAGTGGTCAAGATACATGCCGGTGTCTGTCCATGTGTAGAAAAATACAGAGGCAAGCGCTCTTAAACATCTCTCGTGCAAACTGGAAGGCTGACATTCCAACGTTTTGCCTTGTAAGATGGGGACATATCCAAAGGGTAGATTGGAGAGATTCCTTTGGTTCCCCCCCTTCCCTCCGCCACTTGGAACAGACAATCTGAATGGTCCTTGTTAGTTGGTGGTGGTTGGGTTTTTTTTAACGCCTTCTCTGGTAGCAAGCATTGTGGAACCTGCCTCCTGGCCAAATACAAAAATCCACCCCATTGAGATAGAGAAGGGTTTTTTGAGGACCAGTATTCCGGCTTCCCAAAGTAGGTAGTTATGTTTACTCTAGCCTCAGCAAAAGGTACATACTAAACCCAGTAGCATACAAAGGAGATTCTCCAGCAGCCGAGGAACAATGTAAAGTTACCCACAATGAAGTTTAGTGATGCCTAATTGCCATGTGTATTCAGTGACCTGGCAAAATAAAGTATGTGCCTTAATATACCCCTCCTTCTCTACATCAGCATTCTTTTTAAAGTACAAGGGTTAGTCCAGATCCTATATACCTGACTGCCAAAAAAGCTTTTCTGCTCTTGAAAGCATGCAGCCTTTTCATTTTGACATGGAGCCCATGTAACACAAAGCATCTTGGGGGTAATCTCACTGTCCTGATGGGGCTGTCTTGGTTCACAAAAAACAGTAAGAATATTACACATCTCAAGCATAGGGAATAGGACTCATGATACACGAGTTCACACAGGCTCTTATTAGAGGTCCTTTAGCCTCCGCCATGAAATATACATACTTCCAACACCTTGTATTTGGACACAGTCAAAGATGGAATGGGGGTAGAGGTAGCCACTAGTTCCTAAATAACTGTGTAAGAGAACTACTAGTTTTCTTGAAAGGATTCCACATCCACACATACTTTAAAAGGTACAAGCTACCAGTTACCATTCCTGATCTATGAGACTGTTGCACCACTGTGCAGATGGGTTCCCCCCCCCCTTCTGAAAGCTATTCATTTCTAACAAAGTAAGATGAAAACTTTTTTTTCAGGGAAACATGCATTTATTAAGCATTTGCAGTGGAAATCAACATTTTTTAAAATGTGTGTTTATTTTTAAAAAATTGTGTACAAAAGTGTTGTGTAGTTTTTAATTCTCAAGAGACCCACACATCTCGATGCCACATTCTAACCCACTCATCATTTACAACAAAGTGGAACGCTCCCACTGAGAGCTTCCTACAGGTACCCTTTGTCCTCTCGGGTAGGAAGGGGAAAAAAAAACACAACACAAATTGCTATGGAAAATGATAAATTGGCCAGCAAGGATGATCAATAGTTACAGAAGCCATTTTCTGAGAGAGGCATTCTCTAGCCACAAATGAGCACCACGTTGCAAGTTTCATTGGACTAGGCTCTTATAGTACCTTAATTCTTTTTGGCATCGTTTGGAAATATTAAATGGCTACATTTAAAGCAGGTTCCCCCCTCCCTGCACTGGTTACAGAGCACATGAAGGCCAACAGAAGCAGAACAGTGACATGGACATTGCAACCCTTTGTGAATTGGGAATGGATTCAAATGTGGAGCAGCACACTCGAGTGGGCAAAAGCCCTTGAGCTTCCTTAGGGCACATCATACAAACAGGGAAGAGTGTGCATATTTTCAATGGGGCAGTTTCAGCTAATGTGCCATGTTCTGAGCATGAGCTCATCTGTCACGGTAATTACCTATCAAGGTAATCTTGGAGCATCTATAAAGATGCT